ATCTCTCTTTTCTCTAGAAACAAGTTTTGCAGCTGCAAAACTACCAAAGAAATGTTGGAAGCCATCAAGGTAACTCTCGAGAGCATTGAAGATGTAAGGCTCAGACGATCTACTACTCTTTAGAGACATTATGTGTTGTTATCTATGAAGGAGAAAAAAAACCATAGAAAAGATATTTGGAGGCTTCTAAACTATTCTAAAAGGACTAAAATCCATGGGAACTGAGTTCTCCAAAGATCAAAACAATTTCAAGATCTTGGATAATCTTCTAAATATTTGGGAACCAAAGGGCACCACTATATCAAAAACTCATGACCTTAAAAATCTTACATTAGACGAGCTCTTAGGAGCCTTGAGAGTTCATGAAGTCCATATGAACAATAGGGATCATTTGAAAGTTAAATATGTTGTTGCTTTGAGGACTTGTGAAACTAACAAGAAGAAGGATAAGGGCAAAGCTTTGAAAGTTGATTCTAAGCATAGTATGAATGATGAAATATCTCTCATGTAAAAGAAGTTTAAAAACATGCTTAAAAAGAAAGGAAGGTTGAGGAGCTTCCACAAAAAGAAAGATAGGTTCAAGAGACCTATCCAAGGAGAAAATCAATATGTCTTATGCTATGAGTGTAAAAATCTCGATCACATGAAGGTTGAATGTACAACATTCAATAAGCAATGGACTAGTAAGAAGAAGGCCAAAAAGTGTCTGATGGCCACTTGGGAAGATTTGGACAATAGAAGTAGCAGTTTAGACAATTAAGAGGCTAACATCTGTCTCATGGTAGATGTAGACAAGACGAGATTGAAGGTAGAATCTGACTCTAGCCCATGTTCTTTTGATAGTTTTGATGAAGAGGAAATGTAATATGAAACTTCTCTAGAAAACTCTCACATAGTCACTCTTGAGTACAAAAATTTGAAGAAAATTGCAATTGTTCCAAATAAAACATGAAAAACTCAAGAATGATCTATTAGATCCTACTAAAGATATTCAAATTCTCAACACAAAGCCACAATCAATGAACCACTTGAGGTTAAAACATTGTAGGCTGAAAATGTACAACTCAATAAATTTGTAATTTTTTAGATCATACTATAAGACTAATTGTGATAGATGATTGATTATATTAACATTAAGTTTTTAAAACGAATTACTTTGCTTGTAAAGAAAAAATATTTCATATATATCATTTATGTTATTTGATAACCATCATATTTGTCTAGTTATTCCTTAATAGATCGAACAAAATAAAAAACTTCTACTATACTCGCACTACAAAAAAAAACATGCATGTTAACAATAAATCTCTCAAAGCATGCGAAGTCTTAGAAAATTTGTCTTTAATTGATACACACAATAGTTCCTTTCGTTTGGTACCTTAAAGGTGATAAGTAGTTTCCTTGATCAAATAAGAAGTGACAAATTGGTGAAACACATTAGTGTTCACATTTATTGCACTAATGAACTCTTTTCTCCACAAGGAGTGAAGATGAAGACAGATGAAACAAGCTTGTGAGAAATTCTTAAGGATTTGTGACGGTCATCTTCATGAAGTACCTATATAAAGAATCTTGAAGATTCATAAAGAAAAAAGAACATTAATTGTAAAAAACTCTTATATGTATTCTTTCTATAAAAAGTCTTGGATTTAACTAGTTGTATCACATCTTGATAATAAGATGAAATAACAAAGTGATTTCTCAACTTTAAGTTTGCATTATTGCTTTAAGCCTAAAGAGACTTAACTATAAAATCTTACTTAGTTATTGAAGTCTTGAGAGGCTTTGTGTCTAAAGAATACTTAGATAGTTACTTAAAGAGACAAGTCAAAGAACACTTAGGTTAAGCTAAAAGTGACTTATGAAAACATACTTGTATCGTTGTAAAAAATAGTTGAACTTAATCGGGTTGATTAAAAATTGGTCGGTGGTTAAAATGAATTAATATAAAAATATTATATGCTCTATTTTCTTAACTCTTTGATTGCACTCGTAAGACTTTAGATACTACTTTATTGTTTCAAAAAAATGTGTTAAATTTTTTATTAACATTATTCAACTACCTAAAGTGTGTCTTTCTTTTCTCTACCAAAACTATGTAAAAGAAATTTTAAATAACTAAAACCTTATCCCACACATGATGCGCAAGGCAACTGAATGGTTGCTGCTCAGGTATGAAGCTAAAATCAAATTCTTTTAAATAATAATATGTTTAGAGTTTAGAGTTTAAGACTTATCAAGAAGATATTATTTTATTAATTACAAAATCTAATGATTAAACTATTATTTTAATTAAAATAATGCATCAGTATTATATCTAATTCAATTTTTTTTAATAAAAAGATATATTTCATAAATTTTTTGGGAGACTTAGGCTTTTTTTATTTGTTATTGAAATGTGTAATTAAAGTCTCATATTATTTGAAAAAGAAAAGAGTTTTAGATTTATAAAGTATAAACATGACTTATTAATATGAAGTCTTTTAGAAAATAACTAAAAATAAACTTAGATCTAAATAAATAATATTGTACTAATGTGGAGATATATGGAAAAGAAATCCCCCGGTACACATGTGAACAAGTGTTCATACTTTATAAAGAAATTAATCCAATCAAACTTCTACTTTCTCTCGGTCTCACATGAACCGCAATTAATTATGAAAGAAAATAAATGGAGTTTCACGAAAAAGAAAAAAAAAAATCCTCCCATATTGAGAAGAAAGGAACCGAGAGCCGACAAGTAATTGATATGACAAAAACACTCTCCTCGTGTTATTTAGTAAATTGCACCACATTTATCTGGATTTTTTTTCCTTCAATAATTATTATCATTATTCTTTTCACTACCATAATTTATAAATAAACAACTTTTTATTCTAGTACATAAAAGAAATATTCGTAGTTTACCACGTTGCGTATAATTTACAGACCGTCTTTTAAAGAAATTTTTTTATTTATATTTGATTTTATAAAATTAAATTAAACTTTTAATCTACATGTATCAACTCATATTGATGATTGTCCTAGCAAGTATTGTTAGAGTTATCAATCTATCCGCTATCAAACTATTATTAAATTACTTACCAATGTCCAACATTATAAATTTCACATTTAAAATATTTAAAATATATATTAAAAATTCCACATTAACAAAGAATAAAAATTATAATAATATATATACATAAAGAACAATTTTTATCTTAAAATTATTTTTATAATTTTATAAAATTAAGTTAGTTTTTTAATAATCATTTCAATTTTTTCTCATGTCCAACTAACATCAAATAATCATTTCATTTTCTACTCTATTTTATCTTTATCTAACTTTTCTCCCCGGTCTTACATAAATCAAACGGTTTTTTTATCCACATGCTGTAATTTTTTCTTTAAAACTCAAAATGGGTAACTTTTTAAGAAATTCTGAAATTAGTGTAAGTCGTGTTTGTGAAAGTCGGTTTCCCAAACACCGGCTATTATTTGTTTCAAGAAAATCAAATAAAACGGAACATAACTAGTTTTTTCACAAATAATTTACATAAAAATATTATTTTAACACAAAAATAATGATTTTAACGTTAACAAAATAAAAATAAAATACACTGTCTCAATTTGAGACTCGACTTACCACTTTGAAAAGATTAAAAAAAACAAAGTCGTGTTTCTGAAACACAACTTACCTCAATTCAGGAATTTTTTTTATTTATTATAAAAGTACCCATTTTGGAATTTTTAAAAAATTTATACCGAATATGTAAAAAAGCCAAAGCAAACAAAGCATTAATGTTAGTTGTGTCATGCTTTCAGGTCAAACGTTTCTCATTTACTTTTCCTTCTCCATAAACACCAATGTGTTCCCGGTGATGACGAAAATTACCCACTAAACACTCATGCAATTGTGCGGTACAACTAGGCATGGCAACGGGGGTGGGGGCGGGTTTTACGTTCCCCGCCCCCGCTCCTGCAAATTTAAACCGCCCTTACCCCCACTTCCGATACTTATTGGGGATAAAATCTGAGTTTCATCCCCGTCTCCGGCAGGGTTAAGGTTTCCCCGCCCCGTCCTCGCTCCTTTTTTTCTTCTTTTTTTATTTTAGATAAATATGAATAATTTTAAAGAAAATAAAAAAAAAAGTAAAATAATATAAATTTTTACATATAAATATTTATAATTTTGGTTTATATATATATAAATAATTTTTTAATTATATTATTAAGCGGGGCGGGGGCGGGGGCGGGTATGGGGACGGGGGCGGGGTGGGGATTAACATCCCCGCCCCCGCCCCCGCCCCCGCCCCCGACTTTATCAATTGGGAAAAGCTCAAACCCGAACTCAAACCCAATAAACACGAGTTTTTCTCATCCAAATCAAGACGGGTTCAGCCGGACCTTAGGGAGCGGGTTAGATTGTCATGCGTAGGTACAACCAAGGTCAATTCCTTACCTTGTCAATTCACGAACGGTGCAAAGTTTAACAACTTGCTGATTAAATAAGTTACCAAGACTCAACCTATCATGATTCAAGTTAAAGGAAAGTTGAAAAAACTGATATTGGTGTGGCATCACGGGAAAGGCATAAAACTTTAGTGTAACTATTGTTGAAAAGAAAATCAATCATCACATTCAAATAGTAATCGTTGTAACTATTTGATTTGGATCAACCTAGAGAACAACACCAACTTGTTAAGTGTGATTATCAGTCAGAATACAGGAAGAAGTTACATGCTTACTTAGAAGAAACAGAATTGGGCAAGAACTCACAAAACAACCAACACAAAACTTCGTTTACACAAGATCATTAACAATCCACCTGCTCAGCCTCATACAATTGTTTTAAACAATGTAGAAATAACTTTTGGATCTTAAAACTAAGAAAGACTTAAGAATAATAAGAAATGTATAAAAAAGATGCAAAGAGAAAGGATTTGTTTTATGTGTATTTTGTTCCACCTTTTAACTTAAAATCCCGTGGAACAAGTGGAAGGAGTCAAGGAAGAGATACAGATAACTATTTGTTGACCATTATATTACTACTTCAGGAAAATGGTGTGCATTATCAGGTAACACACAATTAACAGCATATCAAGCTTAGTACAAATCAACTTCTTGAAAATACACATAATAAAAACCTCACAATAACCAAAGCCAGGAAAAAGATATAATACAGAACCAGAAACCTATTAATTATTTAGCTGCTGTAGCATTGGTTCTTTAAAAGATGGATCTTGCAGTATCAAATGCTCCAAAACTATACTAATAGCCAGAAGTAGGTGACTGAATTACCTAAAGCATGTGTATTAAATATCATATATGATCACCAACTTCAATACCTAGCTGATACTCCCACTGCATTATTCATGGAAGAAATAGTGAGAAAACTGAGTTCATCAATTCATAAGTTTTAAATAAAAAATAAATGGTGAGAGGAGAGCTAGCTGAAGCCCAACCTCCATATTGGTGCCATTGAAATTGATACGAGATTAGAATCCACATAGTAGTATGCTTTCACTAAGCCTTAAGACACCTTCAATCAAGCCTGGAAGGCAAGATTGATAATATTGACATCACAGCATCTTGTCATGTTGCCTAGACTAAATTGGACATCAAAATTAATAGAAGCGTTGTATCGGTTTATATCAATAGTGTCAACTATTAACTCATTGTCCCAATTCAAAACTTGGCCACATATCATGCTAACAATGCAAGGCTAAGCTAAAATTGCAGTGAAAGAGTCGAACTAAACAATAACACAGTAATAACATTATGGTGAAATCTATATCTATTCTATTCTATATATATAAAGACAATAGTCTAATTTGGTATATATATTATTTTAGAAGATTTTACCCTTAAATTTTTAAATAATAAAAAATAACTACTCTTACAAATTCAAGACTCAATCAAGATATTGAGGTTTGAGAAGCATGCACAACACCCGGTCATCTAATAAATATTAGTAATTCTTAAACATTTTTATTAAATAATAAATAATATAAAGACACAGAATGTCTTAACCTCACTAGTAACCATAAAACAAAACATAATGAGCTTGCTCGAATCCTAAACAAAAGCACTTTTGAAAGCTTTTCTACTGGAAATAAAGAGTATTTCTCACTAGAGAAGTTTTCAAAAACACTTCTAAGATTGAATGCAAACAGACTTAGTATGAAATAGTAATTTCACCATTCTAGGTATTACACACAGTAAGTATCAAGATAATAGGACAGATACTAGAAAATATTTCACAACCTAGTCCTTCTCTTTCACTATAGTTAGTAATCTCATTCAGCTCCCTGTCACGTGAGTGAAAGCAGAGACTCTGCATGCGCAACCATCTGGGATCCGCACGGATTGTTCCAATAGGATCGATACTCTAGCAGCTCCCCCTTGCCATTACATTTTGCCAATCCACAATTGCCATCAGTCCCTACAATGTCACCATCTTTTGTAGAGGAAATCAGGAAGAAGTACCCAGTAGGAATGTCTTCACAAGACACAACAATAGTCTTAGTCCAAGATGATTCTACTTTATATTCTTTCATCACCCATATTTCCACCGAATGGCCCCGCCCCACCCCACAATATACACTGAGCAATTCTCCAAATACTCCCAAATCACAATATCCAATGTCACCCTCAAAATCAACCCTCAAAGGTATCTCTGAAAAACTCCTTTCTGTTACATCAAAGGCAACAACATCATTCATTGATACACCATTAGGAAACCCCAACCAATGAATAGCACCGTTCAAAAACAACCCTTTACTGAAACACTCTGAGGAGAGTAAATTATAAGACAAATGGGAGGCCTCAATATCTCGCCACGTGCTATCTCTGAGCGAGAAAAACTGCACCCAGGTAGCATTACATCCCGAGAATGGGTTGCAGGAGGCTTTAACAACCAAATAATCATCTTTTGATGGGTCATAGCCGAAACCATAGAACAAGGTGAAAAACATGGCATTCATATTTGATTCAACAGGTGAGGAAAATACCTTTTTGTGAACACCTGTTGAAGGATTCCATACCCAAAGAGTTTGACAAGAGTTGAGAAGCAAAAAGCCTCTACAGGAGCCTATGATTTGAAGGTTATGATAAGAGCCGGGAGGTAGAAAGTTGAGGCCTAAGGAAGTGGAATCAGAATCACTGTGAAGCGATTCATTGAAATCTATGGAAAGTATTTGAGGAACAGAAGAAGGTGCAATTAACACGAGTCTGTGTCTGTGCGTGCGTGAAGAAGCTAGTTCAAAATGTGATGTTGCAAAGTGTGGATCGGATAGGAGAAGAAGCCATGACTTACAAACACACTTGAATCGGACAAGAGTCTTCACCGGCAACCTCAACAGAATTTCAATTATCAATTCCCAAGGTAGAGTCATTGTCTTCTTCGTTACCCTTGACCTTGATGCTTGGTCTCTGTCTTCCTTCATTTTGCTGTTTTCGGTCTACTCTGAATATTCCTACATCATGTTGGAAACTAAGATAAACTAGGCATGTCAACCTGTTTTGAATTTTCAATTTTATATTTTTATTCCTTTTACTTACTAATTTTATATTTTTAATTTAATTTAATTTTTTATTTAAAAATAATAATTTAATTTGCATACTATATGATAATTCTGAATCAATTTCCTAGTGATCTAGGGGCAGGAGATTGAGATAATAGATACATTAAAATAATATTATTTTATCGTATAATTAAAAAAATATATGATTTTGAAACACAACTTTTAATTATATATTTTTTAATTTTTTACAAAAAAAAATAGTGAAGTCATGTTTAATATTATGATTTTTTTTTATAAAAAAAATGGGAGTCGTGATAGAAAACACGACTCCCTTGTCTCCTTTTTGTTTTTTTTTATTTTTTATTTTTCTATTTTTATAAATTAAAATAAATTTTGTAAAAAACTGTTTACTTCATTGTTATTAATAAATTTTCTAAACTCTAAACGTATACTTTTTAAAAAAAATAAAATAATTTTTCTAAAACTACTATTAAAAAATCTAAATATTTATATATAATAGTAATTTAATTTTATAATATTTAATTTAATTTAATTTAATAACTTTTAAATTAATATTTTTTATATTTAAAATAATTTTAAATAATCTTTTTACTTTTTTTTTAAAATACTACAATCATAATGTCAATCCATGATAAGATTTTAATATACAATATATTTATACGTACATTACCAATTAAAAAAGAAATGAATAGTGGGATCTTATCCCACATGGAGGTCTTTTTTGCTCACGTTGTGGTCTTACTCTTCTTTCTCTAAATCTAAGATCACTTTGTTGTTGCACTTGACTTGTATGCCCTCTAGTGAGTTCACAAGATGTTGATGAACTTCACAACCATCTTCATCATCATTATCATCATCACTAACATTGTTAGTATCATCATCATTCTCATCCTTATCCTCATCATCATCACCCATGTTACGCATTTCAATAGGTAGTATGGGACGATAACAATACACCATTGATGGTGTTGAGTTGTATGCAAATGACAATGTGTTAAAAGAAGTCACAATATTTGCGAGGGTAATGTAGACAGTGTGTTGAAAGAAGTTGCAAACATTTGTGATTATAACATAGAGGTATTTGATGTGAATGGAATTGAATTAAATGAATATTGAGACATATATGCAGAGAATCCTTGTGGTTGAAAATCTTGTTCACCATGTAGGGGCATATAGTCAGAAAACCCCGTTGATTGATAAGTAAATTGTGGAAGTGATTCTTGATATTGGGACATATATTCAAAAATTACAGCTAGTTGATCACTAGATCTAGATTGTGCATGATAATCGAAAGAATTGTGTTCTGCATGTGGTTGTTCATCCTAAAAAAAATAAGTCTAATGGGTTCAAAGACAATAATATGTTATGCAAAAAAATATACAAATAATTATATATATATATATATATATATATATATATATATATATATATATATGTATATTTTTTTATGACATTTGGTGTATTGGTATCATGCTTGTAAGTGTGTCACTCCCAGTTCTAGCTCTTACTCCACTTCCCGTGTCTTGTCATAATTTATTCTTACCATCAAATGTCCA